AAGTACTTCTCCTATAAAGCTTGGTATTGTGCTTGAAAGGCTTGATATTATAGCATCATCTTTGTTTTTGTATGTGTTGTTGCTTTGCATGCGACTTCTTGTTCAAGTACCTTGCAAGCGTATTCTTCTCCTATAAAAATCTAATGTTTTTTTTTTAAATCCTCTTTTTATTTAAATCCACCAATCTTTTGAAGATTTTTGTACTTGAATGTTTTATACGATGCTCATATATGCCTCTAAAATTAACATTAATGATTTAAAAAAATCTACAATAGTACCACATTATATCTCCTAATAATAGATAATACCAAAAAGTAAATTATAGATTCTAAATTAAAACTTTTAGAATTTAATCCACCAATTTCTTTGCCAATTTCAAATCCAATATGCCTACATCAATTAAAAAAATCTTTAGTCGTAGAATTTGGAGTCAATTTAGAGTTTGATATAATGTCATGATCTAGCATGGCATATATGTCTTTATTAATGAACTCTATGTTCTTGCTTTCATTTTTTGCAAAATTCTCAATTACATTATTTTTATCTTATCCAACTTGTTCAAAAAATTGCATGTATGTTTTTCTTGGACTTATATGATTGTCTATTGTAATTTTATTAAGTAAAAAGATTATAATAGAGTTGAAGCCTTTGGTGATATTATTCATTGACAAAGCACATTTCAAGCTCAAGGACATTTAATGTACAAGAGCTTGTTTTTCGTAGGCTGATTTAGATTTTAGGATATCATATTAAGATATCCATTCAAGGTATATTATTTACTTAAATTATTATAGAAACTCTAAATATTTTTTTTGCATAATATTTTTATTGTAAAAGATGCAAGGACTTGTACCACCTTCATTGTGAGTTTTGGATGATAATTTTTAAACCACCTTAGTTATTTGTCCTTATAAATCTTGTTCTTGAATATGGTCCATTTAATCTTGCTTATTTCAAAAAACTTTATTTTTAAAGTTATAGATGTCAAATCTAGATCCTTATTATACATGGCTAAAATATACTTTACAAGCTTCTCCTCTTCTTTTGCAATTAATACCCTTAAACTCCTCTTTTTTTGAATGTTCACACTATAACATATTACTCTCTAAAAGTTGTATATGGAATATCATGGTTTATTATTGATTTTCTAATACTTTTATATTCCTCACATTTTATCAATGGTGCTCTTATTTCTTCTTTATTCTATAAAGAATTCCTTCTTATGTTCAGAGTGTAGCTCCAACATTGCCTTGATGGTGGTAGTTGCAATTGCTAGTTGTTAGCGAGTCATAATGTTGTTCAAATGCTTCTGATGTCTCTTAGGTCGAGGTTTTTGAAGAGTAATATCACATTTCTCATCCTTATTCTCATATTGTCTACAACTCCATCTAAGTTATCCTTCTTTTTACCTTAATGGTCTTCTCTCTTCTCTTTCTAATCACATAGTCTTAACCATTCCTAAAAATTCTTCTTGTTTATAAATACAAAATCTTTACAGCTTCATAATTATCAACTTGAGTCTTGATGAGAGAATTTGGCTCACTCTTGCTATAATATTGATCATGTTTCCTAGTGTTGGAGCTGAATTCTACTTGATCACTCTAATTTGGCAATTCATTACTTACTTGTATTATACTCTTAATTACAATATGGATAAATTGAATGCAACCTTGTACCTTAAATCCTTTCTAAATTTACTTTTATTTTATCAAATACCAACTTCATGAATTTTTTACTTTCTTGCTCTTACTTTGGCAAATGTCATAGTTGCATCTACTCAATTCACATTGTATCTCTATATACCTTGTATCTCTAAAAAAAAATTAAAAAGTAAGAATTGACACTTCCACACACTTGATTGCAATCTAAAATATAATGTAATTTAGCACCTTTATATACCTTACTCCTCTAAAAAAATTAAAAATAAAAATTTGATACCTCTATATACTTAATTGCAATCCAAATGTATTGCAATTTGGCACCACTATACACCTAATTATAATTCAAATTTTTTTGTAATTTGGTACCCTTATACTCTTGATTGCACTTTGAAATATACTATAATTTTGCACCACTTTACACTTAATTGTAATACAAAATATGTAGCAATTTGGAGCCTCCATATACCTCAGAACTTTGAAAAAATCAAAAAAGAAAAATTTGACTATAAGAATAGATACTATTTCATTTCAAACCATAGTTTTTTTTATTTTTTTATATTGCCTATAAAAACCTAAAGATTATAACCATCATTTTCAACTACAAGAAGAGAAAAAAATATTTTAGTTACCAATGCATAATCAACCATCTTATATATGCAACTCCACTAATGCACAATTAAACTTTGATAGTTCACGCATACCCATTCTAAGTACAATGAATTTTATATGATGTTCACTACTATCCATCATTTTAACCAACATCCAATTTATTTCTAACTATAGGATGTCAAAATTGGTCATAAATAGAACATTGGACTTGTAGAAATATTCTATCCTATAGGTTGGAATTAGGAAAAAGAGAGGTAGTCAAGAATGAATTGGCTATATTGTATACAATGTCTTCTTATTGCTTGTAAGCTCTAGGTAACAAGAAACGGATACAATCCTCTCTTATATAAATTTTTATATATTTTAAATATAAAACTTATACAAAAGAAGCTCTTTTGTATAATAAGTGTGATTCTTAGAAGGTTTTAGGTTTAGACTTTAGTAATGATGTTGATTGAAGCTATTATCATGCATTGATTCATTAAATTGGACCATATTATTTTGAGATATTATATCTTTTTTTAGATTAGTCTTATTTATGATTTATCTTATTTTAATTAACTTTCATCACTTTAGGTTACTACTTGAAGTCAATATAATGAAAAAAATTAAATTTAAATAAAAAATATAGCATGAACATATTAGTTTTGTTAATTAGTAAGCTCAAGGTCTAGCTAAAGAAGTAAGTAATCTTCTAACAAAGTCATGTATTCTTTTAGGCTTAATAGAATAGGCTATAAAATATAGAAATCATCAAACTTAATAATGATGACTTTTTGAATATAAAATTAAAACTTTTTTGATTCTTACTTGATTTTTAATATATATATATATATATATATTTATAATAATATATATATAAGAAGTTGTTAAAGCTATACCTCAATGTTTTTAAAGCCACAGTCCACATTACCAGCTCATGATCAATTCCATCCATCCCTCATCTCAATCTTTTGTTCCATATCCCATGTCTCTTATTACCTATTCCTATCTATTGTTCTATGTCTTTCAAAATTAATCATCACATGGTTTAAGAGATGTACTTTTAACAACTCTATATATATACATATATATATATTAAATTTTTTATTTATAAAATATCAAATTTTAGTAAGCAAATTAAAGAATCTATAATATAGTATTAATAAATCAAATTTTAAAGAATTCCACATATATTATTTTTTGTAGTTAAACTTAATTAAATATCAATATTATCCAACCAATATATGTATATGATTTTGGCTCTTTTGACTCCTTAAGTTTGCTTATATTTATTTTATTTTTTTATAAAATATAAAAATATAAAATTTTCTATTTAAATTTATTTTATTAAATTCAAATATAAATAACTTTGTAATATTGCAATTTATAGTTATAGATCACTACTAAGTTATTCAATAAGATTTAAAGGAATTAGAATAAGATTCTAATTATTTTTTTTTACAAAAATAAAAGAACAAGATTAGAAACAACCAATTTATTATTGCATGGAAACTTTTTTTTCAAAAGATTTTGAATTTTTTTCTTAATTTTGTGATTAATATAATTAATTTTTATTTATTTTTGGATTTTTTTATTTTTATATATTTATTTGTATCACTAATTTATTACTTAAAAAACATATTTTATATTGTATCCATTTAATTTATTAATTATAAGATATACCAATTTTGAATTCTGAATATTGTTAGAAATTCTGAAATATATAAAACATGATTTATTTTATATTTAATAGATAGAAATAGTTATTTTTATAAATTTATATAAATAATTAATTATTTTAATTTTTATCTTATTTATTTATTTGTAGAATTTATTATAAAAAAGATAAATAAAAGTCAATTCTTTGTGATATTAAGTATTGTTTAGTTTATTTTTTGAAATTAAATTCATATATTATAGAAAGAGACATGGATGTTTATAGACTTAGTTTGTTTTTATAACATTTAAATTATATGATGAAGCTTACTAGCTTTATAAAAGGTTCAAGCTACAAGCATACTCCAAATTGCTAATCATACTTCTATTACATTTATACACACAATCAAGGCCTTTGATTGGCTATTCTAAATTTCATGTTCTTTGTCCTCGCATGGATCCAAGTTCTCTCTTCTTTGTTTTGGTGCAAGTCCTGAACCTCCTCTCCCTCTTACTTGTCCTAGCAGTGGTATTAGGAAGTTGAGGGAGAAGCCTAAGAGATGTGCCGGGACAAAGAAAAGGAAATTGGAATTTTCACTAAGATAAGGAGAGAAGGAGGTTTGAGAGCCATTCTAGGACAAGGAAGAGAAGGACAAGGTTTAAGAACTACATTAGGACAAGAAAGAGGAGGTTTGAAGCAACCAATTAGAAGCCTTGAGTGTGCATATAGACATAATAGATGTTTGCATGGTAATTTTGGATTATGCTTATAGTCTAAACTTTATTAAACATCATAGTAAAGAAATTATTTATCACTTATTTAATTACTTAGTTAATAATCAAAAAATATAGATAAATATTAAATTACATAATTATAATATAATGCAAATGGTAGAATTTTTAACACAAACTATCATTTCGATTTTGTTTTTTAATTTAATAAGGCATATAAACTTCTTTTTTTTTACTTTTTTTACTTTTTTTCTAAATATATTTATTATAACATTGACCAATTTTGATCTACTATCTAATGTGATTTAAATTTAAAAAATTGTTCTAAAGTGGTGTTTTAAAATTAATTATACAAGTTGAATCCTAACAATCTTTTTTATTGCTGAGACTATTAGTATTGTTTTGAGTTTGATGTTAATGATTGTTTTTGTTTGTGGTCAAATGCCACGTTCAAAACTGAGAAAGCACACAATGTTCATGAAAAAATGTATGCAGTTACTTAGGTTTTTCGTTCCAAAAGATATAAACTATTTCCAACTTGGAAATCCTCATGCTTAAAAACAGGACTAAAATTAAGTCTTAGCTGAAACGTTTGAACACAGATAAATATATGTATGTATGTATGTGTGTGTGTGTTTCAGAGCAGGCTCAGAGACGAGTCATCTTTGACTGGGATTGTGCTGATGGGCGGCAAAACCATTGCCAATCAAAACCAGGGGCAACGATTTCATTATAAGCGTTGAAATTTACCGACAGCGAGGTGTATACACATCCACTGCAGCCTCTGAAATGGGACAGATCCAGACTTTGGAACTGTCGGTGAGTGATCTGCCCAGCAGCAAGGATTATGCACCCGGAGCCCCCATGAAGCATCTGCAGCAAATAAAAACTACACTTCAAGTCCTGTTCTCGCTGCCGCCTGTGCATTAGAGAAGTCTCGCTTTCTTCATGATTCTGCAGAATTCTGACTCGCTGATTTCTCCATCACCTGTACACACAAGTGCACATTTGTATGGACCTCAAGCTGTGCCAGAATGAAAAATGAGATGGGTCATCCTTGTGGAGAAGTGGTTCAGTTTCGCCTATAAATGTGTGAGACCTTACCATCGCAATCGGCTTCATCAATCATCTCCTGAAGCTCTTCGTCCGTCATGTTCTCGCCCAGCTCCTTGGCAACATGCTTCAAGTTTTTGAATGAGATCTTACCCTGAAGGACAGCATCGTGTTTAAAACCGCAGTCATTTGTTTCCCGCGTCAGTAATAAACTACAGTTGAGATTTGGTGTCCACATGTATACCCACACTGATAATAACCGGTTCCCAATGTATGATTCGTGATTGAATATTCGAAAATCTCTTCTCGAACGATTTTACGTTTACGAGACATCTTCCAGGGTGATCTAAAACCGTCGAATGATCTGTTGATTCTACTCAGATTGTTCAAATTCAACGTGGGGCTCACAGGTGGCAACTCTGATTCGAGTAAATGGACAGCTGAACTAAATTTCAGATCTACCAAGGAAGTGCTTCAGTCATTCAAGATACTCACTGTTCCATCAACGTCGAAGAGTCGAAAAGCTTTCACAATTTCCTCTTTAGGATCCCGCTCCCCCAATTTTTCCGTCATCATTTGCAAAAATTCCTCAAAATTAATTGTGTCACTTTCATTTCTTTCAATGTCAGTTATCATCGTCTTGATTTCCTGCAAAATACATTGTCGCGCAACAACGCAGATGAGCCAGATGCTTGCTTAACTTCATTCGGTTCTTCCAAGTCTCTGCCCTGATTTCTGGAAGTCGCTCAAGTAAAGTACGAATACGAGCAGCAGTAGCGCAGAGTCTACATCAACAGATGTGTTATTCAAGTTGAGCAGATTAATGATCTTCGAAAGTAGAAAACTAATTCAAAGCATTCAAAGCAGAAACAGACCTCTTTCTTCGGATCAAATCCAAGAGCTCTGTCACATGCAATGAGCTAATTAGTATCTCGTGTTGAGCAACACTCAACGACTCCTTTTTCTCATAAAATTCCTGTGTTACGGAACTCTTTCCGTGGTTTTCCATACATATAATAACGCACCAAGATCAATATGAACATTGGTGTATTCATGTGCAGTTAATCACCTCATGGCCACCTTCAGATCCTTTGCATCAATTGTTCCTGAAAAACAAAAAAAAAATCGTGTCAGTTGACACAAAAGCTCGACATATTCCTCCACTATCTTCATCACCATTAGATAGACTGTTTCATGAAATCTTCATCAACTGGAATAATTTCATGAAGCTTACCAGAGCCTGCTGTGTCGAAGAGGTCAAAGGCTTCTCGAATTTCTTGTTTCAGATCTTCAGTAATATCCTGGGACCAACTTTTGTTCTTATCCCTCCTAGCTGTTCCCAGGCCTTTGCGGAAACTCTGCATTACGCAGGCAACTCCCGGATAACACAGCACATTACTCATCTCAAACAAGAGGTCAATGGGGTCCCAGGAGGTGTAGGCATCATTTTAAAAGGGAAAACCATAATAATGCTCTCATGCCGTAAAAGCATTTGGCTGAAAAGCACATTGTCCAAAGTTGACATGCACGTGCTTTTGAAGTAGACTTAAAACTCACAATAAATTCAATGATTCTCAGTATTCATCCTGCGAATCGTTCCAGCAGACAAAAACGTCATTCCACTCAATGGTAGCAAGGACCGCATTAATACAAACGATATAGAATTTTCTTCCTGAATATACTTCGAACCAAACGCCATCGGCCTCTCGATGACAAAAACGAAGTCTGTGTTGAAACCCCCGACAAATCAGTAAGTCTGTCGTGGCATCAGAGCACTGAAGATTCCCATAACGTCGAATGCATATGCTGTGCTCACAAGACGACTTGTTTTAGCGATGAAAATTGTTTCCGGACTAGAACGGACATCATTGCCAACCAAAGGCAGACAATGCTAAGGCAATACAAGTACTGCGAAGAGATCTCGCGAGATATACTTACAGTATCAAAGGTGATTGGTCTTAACTTTCGCCTATCTTTACCTGAGGATGTAGAACATGGTTCATCAAACCTTGAACTCATGCCATTGAACCTCATCGTAAGTGGATCCTTACATCTGCCAGAACTCCTACCATAACTTGCCGGGAATAGGCCATTCAGCTTCTCGGAGCTTTTGCGAGAGCTCTCTGAAGAAAGGTCACTGGCACTATGATGATCCACACGGCCATCTCCTACGCAAGAAGCATGATCCTTTCTACAACTACATGCAGCATGCTCAAAAGGAACCGCAGTATTGCACCCTCTACTTATATGAGTACTTCCGTCTTTGTCACAAACGCACACAACTTTAACGCAGCACTGGGGTGTGAGGCCATTTCCAACAGCACCAGAAATGGACCGGGCTTGTTGCTTACCAAGTGGCATGCATCGATGCAATTCGGTATTTCGAAAATCAGGTATATCAGCTGAGAGTGTTAACGAGAACACTGGCAAGTTTTCATTCGTACCACTGGCTGCGACATCAAGAGGCCCATCCTCACACAAGTCGCTGTTACCCACGGATGATAGGCAGGTGCAATTACATGGGTGAGATGAATCATCAACAGAGAAGGGTGCGTTCACTGCACCAACAGATGCATTGCCATCCTTGCTGAATGTGGAAGGTATTTTAGCCAAGGATGTCTCGGCATCTGAGTACAAATTGCACCAACACTGTCCAGAGAGCCTTTGCGGAGGCACACCCCCATCAGAGTTGCCGAATCCACCGGTTTTGGTTTCACTATTTACACTAGTGAGGTTGAGTGCAAGCATCTCGTCGCCACCAATTGGATGCACGTCCTGCTGAAGAGACGCTCGAAAAGTAGAATTTGGTAAACCAAAGTTACTCACACCATCTTCCACGGTGTTAGCGCCACCACCATTGGGAGTTCGAGGGTGGGAAGGCACCTCCTCATCTGAGTTTTTATTGCCGGAACAATACACTTCCACACGGGGGCACGTATTACTCCCACCATGTAACAGCAATCGCTCATGTTGAACCTCACGACCACAATTTTGAACCTCCTCATTGGATTTCAAAGGACCGTTGCCATTACCACCATTCGAGGACATATCCCGGCCAATGGGCCTCCTAGGGTTGAAATTGTTACGGGGAGCAAGGGGGTACGCTCTCAGAACATAAGCCCCAAGCACCAATGTGAGTAGATGCGACTACCGCAGCATTCACATCACAACAATTCCTGCGACGCAACCATGGAGCAGTGAAACTGTGTCAAGGATTTTCGTCGCAGCGGTCACCGACTGCAATATCAACCACCTCCAGCAATCTATAACGTAATGCTACACATCGGCAATCCGAAAGGGTACCAGGACCAAACTCATGCGGCTGCTCTAATTCCACTAACTACAGAGAAATTTTGCTTTGCATACACAATATGATATCAAACCCATCAGCGACTCAAGTCATCACGAAACCCCAAACGAAAAAAAAAAAAAAAAACAACCTACTCCCACTCTCACAAGCTTTTGCAACGTCAACCAGAATCCAAACCCCCGCTTCCCACTCATCCCTGCTTTTCCTATCACTCATTCCGTCTGCAACCCGTAAATGCCATACAAAACATGCATGCAATCTGACTTTGCAGCTCCCTAACACAAGCGCAGAGTCTCTCGGCTTCCCGAGCACATCGAATTGAAGAAACCCAAAAAGATTTGTGGTTCACGAGCACTGCAGCGATCGTTTGAAGCAATCGAAAAAGGAAGAGTATAGAATCCTGTCGGTGCCACATTGGAACCGAGGGAGTCGGTGGTGACGGTCAAACCCTCCCGCTTCTGTACCCGTGGAAAAAGCGCCGCGGCCACCAGTCCCAGTCGGTGTCGCCGGTTTCTGCGTAACGGCCCACGAACGAAACTGAATCGTTCGTCAGTGGCCGATTCGTCCGTTCTGCCTGACTAATGCACCGAATCCACCGACACTTTGGAGAGATGGCTGATAAATGGATGGTGCCCGCAATTAGAATAATAAATGTCATTTCTTCTCGACTTTAATGACCATGTCGTTTTAATCGTAAAAACAGATAATGATTAATACTAAATTTTAATATATATATATATATATAAGTATTTTATATATTTTATATATTTTATAAATTTAAATTTAAAATATTTTTTATAAAGTATAAAATTTAATATTTAAAAAATAATTATATCTAATAAATATTATAACATTAAAATTCTTTCAAGATTTTAACAACTACTATTTAAAGAAATTTTAAATTTTAAATATTTATATTTTATATTTTTATTATATACAAGCTAAGACTTTTTCTTGTAACATTAAATTATATATATATATATATATATATTTTTTAAAATTTTATTAATAAATTTTTAGTATAAAAGACGTTCTATTAGATTTTAATTTTAATCATATTCTAAATCAAAAGATAGAGATAATATTATATGTTAAATTTGAATTATAAATTATAAATTTTAAAAAATCAGTTAACTACAATAAATTTTATTTGTAATATCTTTACTAAATTTTTAACAGAATTTTCTATTAGTAGTTTTTAGAAGATATTTTATTTTATTTTATTCCAATGATATATATATATATATATAGAGAGAGAGAGAGAGAGAGAGAGATAAATAGATATTTATTTAGTTATTTACTAAAATAGATTGATTATATTGCAATAGTATTAAGGACATAAATCTATTTAAATTTTTGAAAAAATAATATACTCTTGGCTCATTCTAAAGAAGAAAGTAAATAAAGAAGAAATAAATAAATATTAGAGAAGAAATTGAAATGGCTATTGTCAAATATAAATAAACTAAAGACTTTCAATCCAAGATTAGAATACAAGAAATATGGTGTAAGATTGATGATGGTCTCATTTTTTTATTTATATATATTAACTACCAAAAAAAGTTTTGCAAGAGCTTTCTAAACATTACAAGACTTATGGCCCAAATTTTAAGCTATAAGTTCCTTCCAACATATATTTTTAAGAATAGAAAATTGGTACAAGAAGGTTGAATGAAGACATGGCATATTTACAAGAATCTAAAGATATAATTTATATCTACAAAACTTCCTCAAATTTTCTTAAAGAATCATATTGTTTATAAAATATATTTATATTTATTTCTATTTGAATCTATTTATTATAGTAATGTGGGCATTTGTTTCACTTGATGCAAGTTATTGTTTATTAATAACTTTCATTGAAACTAGTCAAATCTTCTTTGAAATATGAACTTGTGTTTTAATGCAAAGTCTTTAGTTATAAATGATATTAAGGTTCTAATATTTAAAAGAGCTATAGTTGAAAATTCACAATTTAAAGGTTTAATGGTTGTACAAAACTTAAATCAAGGTGTAGAATTTTATTACAGCATGAGATTTGAATTTCATAGTTGCAATCTATAATAGGTTAAATTACAAGGTCTTTTTTGCAATTTGACATCTTTAGTTTTCAATTTTTTTTGTATTTGAGTTTGTACGCTAATGCTTAGATTAATTCAATTTAATACAATAATCTTATACATTATAACTTAATTTTTCACAATGTAAGTAAATATTTTTACTACTATTTAATTTTTTTATTGGTGCTAATAACTTGAATTGAATTGTTTGAATGTGCATAGATTCTGATCTTGATATGTAATTTTCCAAACTTTTTGAAGTTGTTGTAATTGCTTGGTTTTTATTCTTAAAGCTTACTAAAGCAATAATCACATGCAATTCCTTGAGTAAAAGTTGATTTGATAAAACTACTCTTGACATTATTAAAAATAAATATTTAATATTATTTTTCAAGTCATTCAAAATTAATTGATGAGAGCCTTATCATTCAAATTAACATTGCAAATAAATTATTGGAATTTTACAACATAAATAATAGTTGAACATGACCCTTGTTGTAAATATTGGATTTTATTTTTACCAAGTGTTTTTATTGTTCTTTCCAAATGCAAGATTTTTAGAATTTACTTATAAAGTTAGTCTACTTGTACTTCTTTTTCATAAGCTCACAACTTCTTGAGACAAACACTAGACTTTATTCTTGTCTTCTACTGTAGATGTAGCAATAGTAGAGTTACATGATTAAGATTTAAAATATAAACAAATTTAAAGTAATTTTTATAATACTTATAATAAAAAAAAATTAATTTTAAAATTAAATTTTCTTTTGTTCTAAACCTACTAAATTTTCTTGGAAACTCAACAATTTTGTAATAGTGAAAAGTTAGATTTGCTTGAGATGCTTATAAATAAGACTAGCTTCCAACTTTTGTTATATATGCTTATTCTTCTTACAATAACTAGTTATTACAAAACCACCTTAATATTTATCATTTATATCATATTTATCAATCTTAAATTATTCATAGTATCTTACATAGATTATGTAATTGATTTTTTTTTTTTTGTTTATACTTCTTACAATGTATCTGTACTTAAGCTTTCAAGTCAATAGTACCAAAATGCAACAAGTTGTACATATCATGGGTTATCAAATAAATAAGATATTATCTGGCAAGACAAGGAGTATTTGCATATCATGCAAACTTGGCCAGGGTTATCATTAATTCCTTCAATTTCATTCACTTGGACTTCAATCTGCACAAATCGCCAACTTATTGGTTGCAAATTTTTGGAGTTGATAATCGAACTTCGACAACTATAGGTGTAGTGGTTACTTCGATAGAGGAATACTATTCAGTTCACTTTTTGTTTATGTTACTTTGTGAAATTAAAACATTTCGAAGTAGTTGGCAAATTCATTGTAGTTGTCAACAAGTCCTAAGCAGTGAAGTAACCCTGCTCTTCAATGCTCATTTAGTAGGTGATGCTTGCAATCCAGTACTATTCACATTTTCACCCATCAATTTCTGATTCATAGCTGTTCATGGCTTTATGTGACGTATGTTATCCATGCCTCTAAAATCTTACAAACTTTAATGTACACCTTTCAATGTGAGTGTCGTGGTGTATTTGACCTATCATAACAACACCGACGCGTAACATAATTTCTTGAAAGCTAACAATATTTTCTAAAATACAGATACTAACTTTTTAGTTGTACAAAATGGTTTCAAATCCAAATTCTTAGTTCCAAATCAAAAGCGTGCATCCAGCCTTCATTACTATGGAGGCAGACCATCTCATATAAGTTTCAAATTTCTGCCCATACATGCCTACACTTGGATTGGCACACTGGCACAGTGCCGCTCCGAATTAAGTTCATCTATCAAACCATGAAGCCCAAGTGCTGATGCAGCACCACATCAGAAACACTAGAAAGGCAATAATAATGACCTCTATCTGATAATGGGAGGAGCAACATGACTTAGCCACACTACAGTACCAAAGGTGATTATGAATAACTCGTCACCTTAATTCTGCTGGTCATGGAGGAGCATCAAGCTAGAGAGCTTCTTCTAGTGAACAGTTCAAGATACTGCTACTCTACTTCTGATCAAGGAGCAGGTGCATAGGCCTTAGGTTTAGGCTTAACTTCTGCCTCATTTACACTCCGCACAAAAATAGCATCAGGTTCGTGCCTGCACAGTGTCAACCATTAAATATAAGCCTTTCAACACACCCAAGTACCAAGCAAAAACATGGATGGTCATGAGGAAGGACAATAAGCTACTGAATGGAGCCCTCAACTTATAACAAATTCATACTCATGCTATGGACAAGAAACAAAAGCGAAGCGAGTTCCAGTTACTACTGCCTCCAAATTCGAATACATTCCACTGCATAACGTTCTGAGATGAACTAATTAAGTTCAAAACAAAACAACAGACTTACGGTTTATCACCCTCCTCGTATGTGTAACTGGATGCAACAGCTAGGAGGCGCCCATCTCTGCTAAAAGATAGTGCAGCAACACTAGTCGGATATCTTGAGTACTGCATAAATGCACGACAGTACGTGAAAGAATTAATATTAACCAATTGAATGCTCGAGCACAGGACTAGGGGCACTAGGTAAAACAGTAATCCTATCCCAATTTCAATTCAGACGAAACATGGCAACTTTGGTACAAGTAATTTCAGAGCGTTTCGACTACACTTTGAGCAAACAAAGGTGGGTTCCTTGTCTCGTTTCAACACCGTTCGTGAAATACCTGATATAGGCGCTTCTTGTTATTACCGTCCCAAACATTGACAAACCCATCGCAACCGCCTGTTGCGAACGTGCCATAGCTGCATCAAATGTAGAACAAATTCAATTGAGGGTTCTGAGTCTAGATACGATCATGACTCAATTCATAAGCTTTAACTTTTGTTTTAGAGCACTCCAATGGCCTTTACTAAAGATGATCTGGATGGTAACTAAAACGACAGCATTGATATAATCAATTCAAGAGCAGCACACACATGTTCACTTTGATCAAGGTAACTCACATTGGATGAAAAGCGATGGCATTCACTGGGTAGACTGTATCTCGACCAGCCTCTGACTTCCGATGGCATTTGAAAGCATACCTGCATCCGATGCAAGCAGCAAGGCTTAGGACTAGTTGAATCAAAGAGGTTCATCACCATGAACCATGCCCCAAAAAAGAGAACAGAGGGAAAGTAAATGCTCACTTCTTTGCTTGACCCGCATCAGACATATCAAAGAACTCCATAGCAACCCGGCCTTCTACGGAACTGAGAGCATAACCTGCCATGCCATATTGCACCACAAGTATAAACCCATGGCCCGAAAACAGAATAGCTTGGCCAATCCTGCAAGCATCTCATATATACTCTCGGAGACCTTCGATCCACACTCCAAAAAAGATTCGAATGAATAATCTGACACAGAGAAAATTTGAAAAGAGGTAGACATAGTCATGCATGTTTACACCGACATTGCCATCAGTCTGAGTGAATGTTTCTAAAGGGTTGAAACGCATGCCTGTGCCATTCGGATAACAACGCACGCAACGAGTTTGATACTTTAAGGACGATTCGCGGATCTGTTCAGCTTGTTGCATATGGCGCAAGTCATACACTGTAATGTGTCGGCCTGCAGTGGCCACCACAAGTCGGTGCCCGACCAGGGACATACTATACACCCGTTCAGGTTGTGAATAAGTACCAACCCCTTTACCTCCTCTTGGATCCCAACAACGCACCGTCTTGTCCCAGCTTCCAGTTACCACATGTCCTACAACGATGCAGACACCAAACATAATCTCAATGAGCTTTGACAGGAGTAGTCGAACAGTATAATCAAAACTCTGACCAATTGATGGTTAATACAAAAATGAAGGACTACTTGCGGTAACATAGACCAGACGTTAATGAACTCCAAACGAGCTTCAAGAAATGTAGCAAGACGCCGATTGTTCTACTCACCAGTAGCGTGCGAATACTCCACGCACCTCACAGGAGCGTCGTGCGTTCCCAAAAGATCCTCGCTGCCTGTATTGAAATCATATCTGGAAAAATTTGCACATGTGAAAATATATATATATATATCCTAAACAAAAACCGGTAGAGTCTGAAACAACTCGTAATACTTGCTACTTGCTACTTATTACTGTATAAAAAAATTCAACCCTAACTTCACTTGTGACGCACACTCGTCATGTTATCGCCGTGTTGCATTGAACTAAAAATCAATGCCTTGACGACAGGAGCATTCAATCACCTCACTAATATTCTCACTTCCAAGCAATGATTGAACGCTACACATTTAAGAACTGATAGGATCAATGTGCCCACAGCACTAACTTCCGTCCAGGATGAGAGACAAAGTTTAGAAAAGGTTTTGCACGATGAAAGTTTGAAGGGAACCCACATTGGAGGCAACTCATATTGTAAACGAATGAAGAAGAAGAAGGAAGGCAGTGAGGAAAGAAAAGAAAAGAAAAGAAAAGAAAAAAACAGAATGCAGAAAACAAAGACCCATATAGGGTATAAAAAACAAAAAACAAAAAAACAAAGGGGATAGGAATCCAATAAGAACGAGAACCTACCGATAGACGGTATGGTCAGCGGAAGCGCTGAAGCCAGAGGAGTCGTCATGGAAGCAGCAATCGAGAACAGCAGCGCGGTGGGCGAATTGACCCTTGAGGACATTAGCAGAGGCGTCGTAGAGGCGCACCTTGGCATCCCAGGAGGACACAAGAAGGTGGTCACTGAAATTCGAGAAGCGGAGATTAGAGATTCCATCCGAGGGCGGCGACGAGAGCTCCCGCCCTAGTGCTACATGTGCCGATTGCGAACCAAGCGGTGCTTGTACATGCTGCTGCTGCTGCTGTTGTTGATGTTGGAGTGGCGGCAGCGGAGGTGGTGGTGCCACTCCTCCTCCCCCCCCCGTCCCTCCGATCATTCTTCCTCCTCCTCCTCCTCCTCCAATCCCTCCCTCGCCACACCCAGTCTCTCTCGCTGTCTTTCTCGATGCTCGCCTGAGTTGGCTGTTCCGTGGAAGTAGTACAAGCAAAAGGGGGCTGGAGAAACGTCCGTTTCGAATACCCACAGAAGAGGGGGCTCGCACACACACACCGTGAATCGAAAGAGATGTATGAATGACTGTGTAAGTGTGACTCGAAAGAAATGGAGGGAAGGAACGAACGAAAGAATGGGCCTGCGCAGAAGAAGAAGCCGCGGCGGCAACCTCGGATGTTCCGTTGTCCTCGGTTGTTGCTCCCCCCTCCCTCGTTCATACACCCCCCCCCCCCCCGATTTCTATTGCATTTCATGACGCATGCCTCATTCGTTCACAAGCAAGAAAGGAAGGAAGGAAGAATGAATGAATGAGTGAGTGAGCACTCTCTTTTGCCTTGGCCCCCAGAATTATATGTATGATTTTGGAAGCTTGTGTATGTGGTTTTCAACAGCTTACAGTACGCGATGAAATAAAATGCTAAACACACACACACACACACACACACACACATATATATATATATATATGTAAAGACATGAAAGTCAAAAAGTCATTTTTACACGAAAATAAATATTTGTTACTCCTAGCCTCCATTGTTCAATATTCATTCAAACACAAACATTCAAATTATTGTTTCGAGAATGATATGTGTATCTTAAACAATATCTTTACTTTAGCAATCGGTACATTCAAATTTTGTATTGAATTGGATTGGATGTATTTCAAATCCCCATTAAAACGTTTTTTATTTCTTTATTTTTTTATTATAGAAATAATAAGGAATAAGTCATAAAGTTGGATTTCATACGACATAAAAGTCATTTTGAAAATCAAAGTTGTTGTAAAACATACATGTATGCTGGTAAATAAAATTCTTTAAGAATTTTTTTTTATGCTGAATTTTTTCAATCCATCTCTATTTGAATTCATATTGTTACCCATCTAGAACTCTTAGGAATCAAACATAACATGTGCATTTTAAAATATTTGAATTTTACATGAAAATTGTTCATCCTGAATTATTGATATTATGTGTGATTTGTATCCTAATTTATAATATTAAGAAGTTCAGTGTATTACCTATGTTCATTGTAATTTTATTTTTTATTTTACTAACATTCTTTGAATAAAAATGGATAAAATTGGCAACAACAACAAACCTTAAAATACACACAATAACTATCTTTATATTTTGTTGTTTTAATTAACTTATACTATAAACTTGATTACTTGCAACGTTGAGGTTCCTTACTTAAATAGGAGAGTTAATGATTGTTACTTAATTGAATATTACAAAAAAAATCCGTATCAAATATTATTATTTTTCCCCTCTTTGATATGAAATTGCAAAAATCTTCTTGATTTCACCCTCACTTCAAAATTAAATCTCTGATGTTCATAAATTGACGTTTTGTTTGTAATTTTTTCTTCCAATTTTTTAACAAAGATAATTCTACTATACTTAATTTTGTGTAAGCTTATTTCAAATAATATTTCCTTGTGTAAAAAAAAAAAAAACTTATTGATAATAAAATTGAATTGAATTATATCTTTCAAGTGTAGAATGCAACATGGACGAACTTAAAACTATAACTTTCATTTTATGTTTTATAACATATCATCTTTTATAGTATGAAGTTTAAAAATGGTATCGAATGGTTTTAGATTTCAAAGAAACTCACAAAGAATAATGTTACCAAATTAAAAAAATATCAGTATTCTATGAAATTTAGAAGATAAAGAGGATTGTTTATTTCTTTACATCAAAAAAAAATTTAGTTTTGCATAGTACTTTTATTCAATATTTTTATTATAAATAGATAAAATAACTAATAATAATCGGAATCCATATTAAATAATCACAAATCATTAAAATGAAATTAATTTGGATATTATATAAGCATAGATATATGCTATTTAATTTAAATTTAGAATATAAATTGCTTAGATAGTAGCTATAACAGTTTAAATCAAAATTTAGTATCTTATATTGAAGTACATATATCATATCAACACCAATTTTTATTAGAAAAGAATACAAAGTTGAGAACATTTATCTATTATTTATTTATTTATTTGATGTTTGAGAATTTTATGAAGTAATATATAAAGCTTTGATTATTTGAAGTTTTGAAAAATTGTGCATGATTTGTGTTTGTGGATCAAGAGAGGTTTGGCCTCTTATAAAGAGAAATGAACTTAAGGTAGTTGGTTTCAATTAATAAATTGTATTTTTGATGATATTATAAAAAAGGATGCTATGATCATTTGATAATGTTGCAGTGACACACATATCAGGGACATTAGCACTGCTAATAAACAAAATATTATAATAAAAAATAAGTTGCTTCGATTTTTATATTTTTATAATATTATTTATATAGAAATGAAAAATAATTATGCTTAAATTTTAAACACAATGAAGAAAATAATAATTGTAACATATTCAATTTTATTAATAATTCGAATTAATTTTTTACTACTTATAATGGCATGATGCATAAATTTTAATAACAGATTTTAAAAAAATGAAAAATGAAATACCATAATAAGTGTTACAATAGCACATATATATATATATATATATATGTATGTATGTATGTATGTATGTATATGAACTGTGTTAAAGAGTATATGTTGAATTACATGTTCATATTAAAATCATATACATACCTGCAAAATATTAAAAATATGTATAAAGTCATATTGTCAACAACTTTGTTGATAACCTCATTTCATTGACAAATAAAATCAAAATTTATGTGATCAAATAAATCTCAAAAATATACAATCACAATTTTTTATTGTTCCTGAAAGTTATAAATTATTAATTAAAAAAATCAAACATTTCCAACCTTTTACATGTCAAATTGCATCTTATTCCACAATACATGCAACATCATCCTATCGAAATACACCAAATTGTTTTGAGGGTAAAAATTATATGATATATATATATATATATGATATATATATTTAGAAGGGAATATTAATAAGACCCAATTTTTTACTAAATAAATCCACCCACCTTAACCAACATAATAATAAATAAAAATAAAACCTTTAAATTCATTTCTCCACTATTGGATTTGAAGTCAATAAAAATCAACCGCATTCATGATGATTACCATATTCTTCATCAAGGGTGGGTCAATTTAGTAAAAGCATGGGTCTATTTAACATTCCCCTATATATATATATATATATATATATATTTACATACTTTGTCTGAATTAAGATCAAGTTTGTGCAAATGTTAATCCAACATTCATTCCAAACAAGGAAGCAAGCATTCCAGGAATCTCAATCGCGGTACCCACAACGAGAGACCCTCTCCAAACATTTCCCCCGGTGTCAATCGAAGAAATTCTAGCTTCTGTGTGAACGTAATAGACCTAAACGGAATGGAAGCGGGGAGGCCAGGGTTCTGTTCACACTGGGGGAGAGACAATTGGAGCACAAGCTTGATGAACCCCGAGGAAGCCAAGCCAAGGCAAGGCAGACAATCGAGCTGTGCGGCCACACGCCACGATTGCAACGCAGCGTGCTCGAGAGTCGTAAACGAATACTCTCTGCAATCGTGCATTGCTTCTGCTTGGAGCCCCACTTCTTCTTCTGTAGCCCAGGTTTTGCCGCATGCATTTTTTTTTAAAATTTTTTATTCTCTTTTTGGTGATAGTGTGTTCGAGCTTGCGACAAAAAACAGACGAGAGGAGGAGTTTTGAGGCGATGGGAAGCCATTGATGACTCTTGCCTTCCGCTGTCTCATGACTGGATACTGGGCGCCATGAATCTCTCGTTGATTGGTACGTGCTCTTTCTGGGTGATGTGGAGGCAAAAATGTTGGTGTTTCCCTTCCCCCCGTCGTCTCTGTTATTTGTTCATTTATTTTTTGGTACGTGTTTTGGTTTTTTCGAGAAGATTTATTTGCAGTAATTTGAGGGGAAGGGGTGCGTCATCGGACTACATTGCACTTTGCTAGCTTATGGGTTGCGTTGCATTCTGTTCGATTTGGGCATGTTATCGTGGTTTCGTATTCTAATCTTTGATTAAGGTGGCTATGTTGGTGTGGACTGCGAGGGTATTTGAATTTCGGTTTGTGTGGGTTGTTGTGGGGAATGTTTCAACGGGGATGTGTTTGGGTGAAGTTTGTGGGCGAAGATGGGAGGAATCATTTTTCCGTTTTCTTCGAGTCGCGGTTCTGTCTTTTTCGGTGCGGGTATGGACGTTTATGAAATTGTTCTCTAATTTCTCCTCATGGCAACTTAATGCGAAAGGGGGTAGAACAGAGAGTCGTTTTGCAGTCAGGATTTGGTTGAATAGTTCATCTCACTTCGTATTTGGCATTGTTCTTTCTTAGTCAATTGTGTTTTTTTGGTTACTTGTTCACATGACGGTTTTGAATGTCGTTATTTTCCTCGACTCCTAAGTGCTTTAGCGATTTCGTTTCGGAAAGTTTGGTACGTTGAAGTCATTGTTCCTTCACATGATTTTCGTCTAATTTTCCTGCATTGTGAGTTTACCCTTTGATCGTTGTACAGATTGCAATATGTTTGGGGACTCTTTTTCGTTAATGCACTAACTCTAGATAGGAACCTTATGAGGTTAGTGTTATCATGTATTGCATGGATCACTTCACTCAGTCTGCACGGAAGCCAACATTTTTACTTGTTTGCAAGATTTCGTTCATTCACAGTCCTCTTGCCAATAGAGAAGAAGCAACGTTTTAAAAGGAGCAGTCTGGAAATCAGTGCGTAGTGTTGCATGGAAACACTACCTTTAAAGGTTGTGTTTCCATGCAACAACCCTCTGAAAGTCAAAGACCCTTGCACTCATCAGTAATACAACTCACTCACGCAATGGTCGGAACACGAACCCACAGCAACGAACCCCAAACCTAGCAGGAAGAAACGAAACGAGATTTGTCAGCCTAGCGCAATTCGGAACCTTAATATGTGTGTTCACAATGATACCGCTCTAATAACACCTTCTCTCTTTGTGCAACATGTCAAGTCTAAATCGTGAACTTGCACATTCGAGCTTCATTCTTGCTTCTTCTGGTCTCCTAGAACGGATTCATAAGATGTAATCTGATCACATATCTCATCCTTCATATCCTGTACGTTGGGTCTCTAAACTCTGGAAAGAAATTTTTGAGAACATAAATTTAGACCATTAGGCTTGCCCTTAACAATCCTTGGGGCAACCAATTGAGGGATGTCACCTAGCTCATTCAAAGTATTTAGTGAGTTGCTTCATAGCGATTCTCTTATGAACTGTGCGGATTTATGGAGGACCTTTCGTCCATCTACCTCATGTAGCTCTTTGAGTGCTGACATGTTTGTATATGCAGATCCATTTCAAAGCGACTTTCCAGAAGTTATAGAAGAGTACTTGGAACACGGAGTCACTAAGTGCATTGCATTCAATCGAAGAGGAACGCTTCTTGCAGGTTGTACTTATTTATTACTCTTCCACCTCTGCCGCTACTTGTTAGATGATTGATTTATTTTTTTAACTATTATGTTTCGGTCAGTATACTTAACAGCTATAATATATAATTTTTTTTTATGAGGTTTGTGATACTTATGTCTAATTAGGTGTTGTTTTTAGGCTCTTTTTTGTGAAACCCTAGTTCCTCAATGCGTTGTATTGGGTACTTTATTCACTACGTATTTACTCTACAATGTTGTTGTTATTGTTTAGCTGGATGCAATGATGGATCGTGCACCATTTGGGATTTTGACACTCGAGGCGTCGCAAAGGAGCTTCGTGAAAAAGAAGTTGCTTCCCCCATCACAAGCGTGAGTTGGTCAAAGTGTGGCCATCGTCTTCTCTCTGCTGCCACCGATAAAACTCTATCACTTTGGGATGTTGGGAAGGGCCTCAAAATTGGCTCGGTCATCTTACAACAGTCGGCACTTCATGCGCGACTTTACCCGGGAACTAAGCGGCCATCTGTGTGCTTGGCCTGTCCAATGTCTGGCGCGCCAATACTGGTAAACTTTGAAACGGGTATGTTTCAACAGTTGCATTGTTGTTCATGCTCTCGACTTGCTGTACCACAAGCTAAGACATATGTTTCGACAACTAGAAAATTCGGCTCATTAATTTGAATTGTTAGTTGACATGTGTCGAATAACATCAATCGTATTTAAGAGCTAGAAAGCCGACAATTTGAGACTCTGGGAGTAGTTTGGACGATATGAAGTCTGCAAACTAGCAGAATACGTAGGTTAATTTGTTAATGTCTTGGTTGAGTTTCTTTTGTCTACGTTTAGACGGCTCTTTAGGTGTGTGATCTGAATGTCTCTTTTAATAAATGAACCGATCTACGTGAGTAGGTAACTGATGAGGCACCCTGTAGGGCTTCGAAACCTGTGAAAATGGTGTAATTGCTGAATTTCTTCTGGTTTTTTACATCTGAAGTTGATAGTTTTCTGTGAACATGTATTGCTTTACACTCAGAATGTTCACTTGTCATACAGGGGAGATACATGCGCTTCCTGTGTTAGTCTCTTCAGGTGATGGGGAAAATGGTGTTTCGCATGCTCGTGGTGGTAAATTTGGGGATGCGAGTGCACCTTATTCCCCTTCAGCAGCTAGTTTTAATAAGAAAGGAGACCTTATATATGTTGGAAATTTCAAGGGAGAGATATTGGTGATTGACACAGAAACAAGACAAACCCGTACAGTTGTGCAGGCAAGCAGTCCGTCTCCCCATTAGCTTCATTGTGTCTCTACACGCATTAGCGTTTTCCGGCCTCACCTTTTATTTAACATTGTAACATTTTAATTATTTGTTTATCCATATCAGTGTTTTGCTTATAATCATACTTTGAAGTCAATACTGACATGATTAAAGTGGTAACATCAATCCCATCTTGGCAGTCTTCTTGTCTTTACATTTTACCAAGTACATATGTGCTGCCCCATGGATGCTTGGAGTGTGCTCAATGTGTAAATAGCCGTTTTTTGGTTGATCAACAAATTTTATTTAGTTAGTGTCCTTGATAGGTCATACTTTTCATTAACAAGTTCAGTTTGGAACAATAGGCCTATGATAACATGTTTGTCGTTGTAAGTGTGGGTGATTTTTGTACTTGAATCGTGGGTTCTTACGTGACTCTAACCTTTCTGAAATTTGTGGCTCACATTTTGACTACAAATATGGCCAACTGTTTGGCGCAGGTTCCAGGAAACGCTGCAATTAGACAGATTGTGTTCAGCCGCAACGGCCAGTTCCTTCTTACGAATTCTACAGACCGTATCTTGAGAGTGTTTGAGAACCTTCTGCCAAGAGATGGTGCCGCCAAAGCTCTGGCATCTTTAATTGATCAGAAAGAACAAGGAGCCACTATGTCTCGAGATGTTCCATGTCTCAAGTTCACAAAAGATTTTCAAGATGCTGTAAATAAGATGCACTGGAAGGCCGCTTGTTTCAACGGGGATGGTGAGTGTGTGGTTGGAGCCTCAGCTAACAAAGGAGAGCATAAAATCCACATTTGGAACAGGTTATTGCAAATCTACCTCAATCTTGGATATATAATGCAACAGTATCAGTGACTTCGCTTTCTGTGTTTCAATTTGCTCGGAACCATTCCGCTAATCACAGTACAGCTTCTCACACTGGTTCATGGTCGAGTGCTAAGCCGTGACCTCTATTGACTCACTCTTGCAGTTTCAAACAGTCATCAATTACTCTTAACCTCTTGGCCAAACCTAGGATCTGATAGCTGCATTATAAGTCCAGGTTTGATGTAGAAACTAAATGATTAATGGCTACTTAGTTGAAGCATTGAGCTCCACTAACTACCAAAGTCTCATCTGTACCAGGAATTTTGGGCAACTGGCTCGCATATTGGAAGGTCAGAAGGAAGGACTGGCTGATTTAGCTTGGCACCCAACTCGTCCAGTAGTTGCCTCAGTGTCTATGTCAGGGATAATATACATATGGGCTAAAGATTATACTGAGAATTGGAGTGCGTTTGCACCTGACTTCAAAGAGCTGGAAGAAAACGAGGAGTATGTAGAGCGAGAAGATGAATTTGACATAATGCCCGAGACTGACAAGGTAGGGTCTCAGCCCTGTTATTTCACGATTTGATTAATGCCACATACATATATTTTTATTCATGAAGTATACTGTGATTCTGCGGAGTTTCACACATGTCTTCTTTGATGTAGGTCAAGCCAACACGGGTGGATGAAGATGCTGATGTGGATATAATGACAACGGAGAAGGTGGCTGCATTCAGCGACAGTGATGAATCTGAGGATGGGCTTTACTTTTTGCCGACAGTACCAGATCGTGATGCTTCCCCTCCACGTCCTCCGTCTTCTCCTGTGGCTTCTCCTAACACGGCATCTGTTCCAAAGGTGGATGGTAGTATGACACCATCAAATTCTGCAGGTTCTCAAGACTCGGATACCGAACCAGATGGTCAGAATACAGAACAAAACTCTGAGGGTCAGATGAACTATACCTCTGGACTCCCTTCTGTTGATTTACATAGCTTCTGTGTCTATGGATAAGTAGAAAATCATTGAGGTCAGCGACCCGTGCTGAGGCAACTATACCTGTAAGCGTAACTTTAGTATCACTGTTTCAGTTTCATCACATAGGTTGCAAATCCTCGTGAGATTGACATATCAGCAGAATTTAAGTAGTTATTGATAAACCGTTTTTCGAAGATAAACATCTAGTATTGTGAAACGAGCATGTACTATTGTTCTTCATTATCATCCACTTTCTTGATCCTCTGATTCTGTTGTGCTCTTTGAGCTATCCTTTTTCATGCATAAGTTGCCTTATTTTCTTCAGTTGTTTACTCGTATCATCTTGTTATCATACATACAGATGATGAGGTTGGTGCCAACGGCCGCATCAAGCGCAGGCGAAAGTTGTCAAAGAAAGCAGCAGAGCTTCAAGCAGAGAGAGGCCGTAAAGTCTCAGTCAAGAAGTCTGGTTCGAAGTTGGGAAAAGGTGAAGCCAAAGGTTCGGTGTCAGTTCCCAGCAAACTTATTTTTACTGATATAAATGGAGGACCTTCAAGTGTCACCCCTAAATTGAAGAAACATATGTTGCAAGATCCTCGAGGATATGCTGATGACGAGGTACTTCTACTCTCTTTGTTCATTCCTTACGTCAATAATCAGGTCTGCAGTTCACGTTAGTGATTACCTCTCAAAGTCTGCATTTTTTACAGTGTAATCCAGCTATAGAATGCTTATCTTCAGGTATAGATGCATATTTGCTCGTTTCAAAAACACAAATTGCTGATATTCAAATGTAATGGGTGTTCGTTCAAAGCAGGAGCTTTCGATTCCGAAGAAGAATATCAAGCGCGTGCAACGGCTGAAACCCGTTGCATCATTATCACACAACAATGACACAAGTTCAGCTTATGGATCTCCATCCATGTAATATATGTCACAATTGATCAGTTTGGGTGGAATCCTGTAATGACGGCCTCTCTAGTTACCTCTCGTTCAGCTGTGACTCATAAAACGAACACTCTGTAGCTTGCCGCGCCAATTTTAAACTCTGGTATTCTTGTGTGACGAAAATTCTCTTTGATGATTTATTGAACTCGTTTGTTTCTTCCATTCCATTTGCTCACCATATTTTTTTGTTGTGAGAGATTCATGTGGAAATGTTTAGAACCATTTCATTGCGCAAGTTCTCAACTGACGAGGTGTCGTTTTACGCTCATATTTGCTGTCATTTTAGGGGGTTGTAGTCCTTCACAGAACCTGTCTCCAAAGGCTTTTGGGTTACATTTCTGTCCGGAAGCCTTTGTATGCAAAAGGTTTCTGTTGCACTGCACGGATTTAAACTTAAAGAATTTGGAATTGATTCATGTGAATGATATAGACGAGGGAGGTTAGAAATCTTGAAGTGGTGGGTTGATCCACCGACAACCCCAAACCTTACTCAAGCCGAAGTCCAACTCTGGAATAAACAATCAGTCGTACATCTGATGTTACAGAACCTCGAATGATTCCTGTAGTCGGTTAATGGATTTGCCTACTTCTGGAAGAGTTTCAACGTAAAGCATATTTTGTATCAGGTGGACACTCTGGTAACAGACCTGAATGAATGAATGAATACATATATGTGTATATATATAAATATATATATATATATATATATATTCTTGAAAGTTATCATTTGGCTGACAATATTTTGGTTTCTTAATTTCCACAACTTCAATAACTAAAATATTGCATGTCCAAGCATTAATATTGTAACACTGAAGCACCAAAAACATGAAAGAATCAATTATGTCCAATATTATTGTTTTGACTAGAAATATGTTAATTTAGTTGATATTGTATGTATAATTTAGAAACCATTAAATGTTTTTAGCTGAGGATAATAAAATTGAAATATATTTGATGGCTTCTTTAAATTCTTAATTTGATACAAAGGGCTTGTCATTTAAAAGTGTAACATTTATTTTATTAAATAACTAAGATGATTAAATAAATTTCTCTCTTGGAAGATAGAGTATTATAATATTATTGTTTAATCATTTTATAATTCATTAAATAACTTAAACAATCACATTACTCAAATAAATAGAAGAAAATTAAAACATTTTATGTTGTTAAAATGTTTTTTTTATTAACCATCATCAAAACTTCTCAAATAAGGATTAGATCTACAAATGTCATCAGATTTAAGACCCTATCACTAAAGCTTTTTACAAGTTTTATGGCTTTCAATAGACCTCAAAATAGTTTTTAAATAGCTAATATATATAAGCAAAGCTAAAATCATCCTAAGTTATATTGATGCTTCTTAAATTGGTTTGTTATATCTATTCATAATTCTTCTACATTCTTAATACCTTAGAAATAAAACTCTTTTAATTATTATTTTTATCATTTTAAGAAATGTATGTATTGATTGTCTTTTGACACATCTATGTAAAATCATAAATTTAAAAATCCAAAAAGATTAACAATTATAATATAGAATCTTAATATCTTTTGGACAAAAAAATTATTATTTTTTAAACAAGAACATATATGCAATCCAAAACTTTTGATAATATTGTTTTGAATTTATAATATTTTTATTGAGTAATATTTCAAAAAAAATCTTTAATAATAAAAGTGGATTTTCTTTTTTTATAATTTTTGAAATGACAAGTTTTAATAGTAAGTTATTTAAGTGTGTTTTTGGCAAACTTTGAATTTTTTAATTAAAAAAATAATGTGATTTATATAACAACCAACAAGTCTTGGATATTACAACAAACAAATTTTTTTTGAGTTTGTATATATCATACAATTTTAACAACCAATAATTCATGTCAAATAGAATGATGATGCATTCATTAACCAATTTTTTCACAAATCACAATATGGTATGACAAAATTGCTTTTTAATTTATCAAATTCTTAATCAATTAGCAAAGTCACTTTATTTTGCTATTTAATGAAACAACCAACTTTTTGAGTTTTATTATTAAAATTATAATGGTGCCTCAATACTTTTGCTATTTTGCTATTTTGCAACAGTTGTATATATTCTTTAAAGTATGCAATTAAAACAAAAAGATATATATCATGGATATACAACAAACTATGACAAGAGTCATTTATTGGAACATTGTAGAATCTTCTATAACCCTATAGATATTTATACAATTGTTTAAAGATCCTTTAAAATCTTTAGAATCTTTTAGAAAGATTTATAATTATCAAGAAATTTCTAAGAATCTTCTGCAATCTTTTAGAAGCTTCTTTAGACATCTTAGATATTTCTTAGTTATTTACAAACTTTTTAATGATTTTTTTTACTTCTAAGAAATTACACAATCCTAAGAACCTTTATAGAAGCTTCTTTAGAATCTAGTTGCCATACAATAATTAAAGTATTAAGATAATGAGCATTTCAATCTTACTAAGAAAAGTTTTTGAGCAATCCAAGTGTGGTCTTGATTTTAGTTGTATATCTAGTCTTATTTCTAATCTAATATCAAGTATTTCTTTTACTTCTTTTTATTTTAGTTCTTTGTCTGTGCATTATCAATAATACATATAAATCAATGAAACACAATTTAACTCTCTTATATTTTTTTTTAAAAAAATCTTTAGTATTGTGAAGATGATATGTGTTCATATTATGAAGAATCTAAATTTATTGTTTAATATTGTTTAAAGGAGAAATATAAGTACAAGATAAAAAACATAATTTCAAAAAGATACGATTTATTAAAAATCAAGATTTCCCTACTAGAATTGAAACCAGGTAACTTAATTCTTGGTTTAAAAAATAAGAAATAAAATAATTTTAATCTCATTTTCTATGTATTAGAATTGTTATTTATTTAAAATCTAAAATTTATATAGTTTCTATCTTTGTTTCAGATTCCAAGATTCAGACTTTATATTTAATGGTAATCATTTAATGTTGAATATTAAAATACCTTTTATATAAAAGTCAATAAAATACATAAAACTTGTAAATTACAAATTTTTGTTTATTTAAAAGATTATGTACAAATTCTTCATAGTTGATTTAATCATATTTGGTTATTTTTTAAAAAATAGTATTAAGTATTATAAAATATCTAAATAATCCTACTATTTCAAAAAAATTGTGGTGAGAAAAATATAATCTTTAAATAGATTAGGAATCAGATAGTTGTAATTTCTTATTAAATTTTACACTCAAAATAATTAATTTAATTTTTAATTTGACACCACCATCACCACCAAATACATTTAAATTTCCCTTAACAAATCTGTTATCACCAAAACACAGATAATCACTTGTTCTGAAAACCCACAAATCATGTCAAGCTCCATGCATGACAGTAAATAGAAACCTTAACATCCAAGATGACACACCATGGAAAAGAGAAAGGAGATAGAGAGGGGGGAAAATAAAAATAAAGCAAAGTAAAAAATAAACAACAACAACAACAGAATGTGGTGGAAGTGTAGAAAGGGAACACAATTACACAGAGAGAGAGAGAGAGAGAGAGAGAGAGAGAGAGATTGACGTGTGAGCGATACAGCGCTACAGCAGCAGCACCCCGTGAGCCAGCCCCTCTCAGAAGGAACGAAGAAGAAGAAAAGAGAAGAAAATAAAAGTCCCTTTTCACCCTCTTCCTCCTCGCCCACGTTTGTTTGTGGGTCAAAGGGAGTGAATACTCATACACACTCAATCACTCACACACTCAATCACTCGACCAGGAGGAGGAGACCATCGTGTTGCCACATTGGACCCAACGCAACAACAAGAACAGCTAAAAATAAACAAGTAAACAATTTATTGCATTAAATCACAACAAAACAAAACACAACATAAACCTACATTATCCCCCCCCCCAAAAAAAAGAAAAAGAAAAAGAAAAAGAAAGCCCTAATTCTATTTTCCAGTAGTGAGCCGAGATGTTGGCGATGATATCCGACATCCGCAAGTGGGGGAAAGGGAAGGAAGGGATATCAGGCCTCCCTTCCTTTCTTCCTTCTTCTTCTTCTTCATCAGCATCTTCATTTTCTGGTTGTGAGTGAGTGAGTGAGTGAGCAAGTGAGTGAGTGAGTGAGCGAGTAAGTGAGTGAGTGAGCAAGTGAGCAAGTAAGTGAGTGAGTGAGCAAGTAAGTGAGTGAGTGAGTGAGCAAGTAAGTGAGTGAGTGAGTGAGCAAGTAAGTGAGTGAGTGAGTGAGTAAGTGAGTGAATGAGTGTGCATGTGCATGTGCAGGTAATTAATTTCTCCTCCGTCTGAGCGCGTCTCGTCCATCTTCCTCGCCGGCCCACCGTTACTTTCCTCGAAGTCACAAGATTCCTGGTTTTTTGACCCCCCTTTTTACTTCCAAACTTTTGAATCCTTCATTCTGCAAGTTTTGACGAGACTTCGGGGATTTCTGAGACGATCTCCAGGTGGGTTCTGACTCTCGACTCCGACCTGGGTCTCTTGAGCACTCTCGTGTCCCTGTGTTGCCTTCCAATTCTGTTGTATTCTAGAGCATTCGTGGAGGAGGGTCCCCCGTAGTTGGGTTTCTGGGCCTTGTAGCCCCTGATGCTCGTTTCTTTTTTGGATATTTGGGGTGAGTTGGTAGTGGATGTTGAAAGGGTTTTGTGAGAAATTGGTGAGGATTCGAGGGAGTGATGGTGTCGGGGAGATTGTGGAAGAAAGGTCGGTTTTTTCAAAAAACAGCACTCTAAGAGCATTTGGGAGTTAGGAGGAGGCAGGTGGGAGAATTTGTAAAGCGACATGGAGCTGGCGAGATGGGTTTTTGGTTGATGAGGTGCGAGATGGTGGTGGAAGGAGTTGGTGATGGAATACTTGGGTAAGGAAAGGTGCTGTTCGTGACATAGGTGGTTTAGATGGTGGTTTCAGTGACAGAGATGGGTGAGTGAGGAAGTTGGGGTGGATAGATTAGCATGTGCTGAAATTCAGGGTTGTGTGATTAGAGCAAGGAGCGTTAACGAGGGCTTGAATTAGGGTAGGGTTTGAGGAGGGAAGTGTTTGGGCGCACGGAAGGAGGATGGCATCGGAAATTGAAATAGTGGCAGAGGGGGTAATGCCTCGAGAGAGTGAGGGGGTTTCATCTTCTGGGGATGGAGGCTTGAAGCCTGACGAGTCGCAGAGGAAGGATGATGTTTACACTGCCGCGGCGTATGGAGATGTCGAGAAACTGCGCAGGCTGGTGGAGGAAAGGGGGTGCTCTGTGGTGGAGCCGGATTCTGGTGGTTACTATGCGTTGCAATGGTGTGCTTTGAATAATCGGACAGCTGCTGCTCAATATCTTCTTGAGGTGTACTTGATACCCCTCAGAAATCTCATATAGTCTTTAGAGCCAATTCACATTTTCGTTTTTCCGTGAGAATTTTAATGCTAATAACTTCATGATCTATCTGGTTCTTTATTTAATTTTTCTCACAACATGGCTATCTCAGTTTCTCTTCGTTACCATGCCATAATTGAGGTCTGTTTTCGTTCTTCTTTTGACAAATTTCTTTCCTCTTTCCCCCACAGAGTTACTGAATTATGAATCCTCACAAGAAAGTTTGGTATGCAGCATGGAGCAGACGTGAATGCTACTGATTTTACTGGACAAACTGCTCTGCACTGGACAGCTGTGCGTGGGTCAATACAGGTGGCGGAGTTATTGCTTCAAAATGGGGCTCGCGTTGAGTGTGCAGATTCTCATGGATATCGAGTGTGTAATCCCAATCCGCCATCTTCTTCCCTTTGGTTTTTAAACTTTTTTGGTCATACGTGATAATATATCATGCCCAATTTTGTAAGTTGTGACAGCTTGATTTAGGTTACTTCGAGCAATTTCTAAGCCCATATCTGCTTGTCCTTCAGACTTCTCACGTGGCTGCACAATACGGACACACCCATCTGCTATACCATATTGTCACAAAATGGGGTGCTGAAGTGGACCCCCCTGACCATGATGGACGCAGCCCACTGCATTGGTAGGCCAGGCTCAACCATCTCTGTGATTCCTTGTGAGGTCACCAGTAACATAACCACGGGGGGCTTTAGAAGCTAGCTCACAATCCTGTAGTCCTAGTTCTGTAGTTTTCATCATGAATACCAGTTACTCAGGTGCATGTCGTATTGGGGGGTTTGTATTTGTTGGTTGGATTTTTAAACCTTGAATTTCCAAATTTATGTAAATCAATGTGTATTGATTTACAAAATCATCAAAAGAATGTTCTGATTGTTGTGTTCCTTCTCAGGGCCTCCTACAAAGGATTTGCAGATTGTATTCGATTGCTACTTTTTATGGACGCCTGTTTGGATCGAGTGGATAAAGAAGGTGTGTAGTGTATGCAAGTTAGTATTTAAAATGAATAGAATTTATGTCCCTACAGAGTTGTTGTTTAGTCATCATTAATTTGCACTTGTTCTGTTGGTCACAATTTCCCAATATGCCCGTGTTTTCTGTTTTACTGGAGTTGTCTAGAATGCTTAGTTGAAATTTGATTTGAATTGAGTTTTTCACCTAATTATGGCATGATGGTTGTGTCGGGGCATTCATGATATCTAAGTTGATGTTGTTATTTTTTCCTGGCAGGGTGCACACCGCTGCACTGGGCAGCAATTCGGGGTAACTTGGAAGCTTGTACAGTGTTGGTACAGGCAGGTACCTTGGACAATTTGATGACTAAGGAGTCCACTGGATGTACTCCAGCACAGTTAGCAACCGACAAAGGGCATCGGCATGTGGCTCTATTTCTGGTAATGCACGCCGCTGAACTAGGGTGGACTGAAATGCAAAATCAGTGACCTGCTTTCATGTTTGTTTTGTGAAGTTCTGATTAAATAATTAGACTCAGGTTAGGTAATCATTTTCTATCAACTATTGGCATTTTCAATCGTGCCAGGTTGATAAGCTTTGTTTGAGAAAGATGAGCAAACTTTTTGGATTGTATTCTGTAACTTAAGCATATCTTTTACACCCACTCAGGTCTTACGTGTGGATTCCCCAGTTTTTGCTCTTACTTTCCTGCCTAGCACTTCGTTTTGATGTGTTTTGTTGGATGCAGACGAATGCTCGAAGAATCTTCACTAATCGATGGGACGAAAAGAACCGCCTCGGGAGGTTTGCCAGGCTTGGGTTAGCGCCTGTGCTTTGGGCTATTATTATTGGTCTTCTTATTATATTCATCAACTCTGTAATTACATGTACGTATTTCTCAGCCCTGTACTGCGATTGAATACTTCTTTGCTATCGTGAAGAATTGCTTCTTTCAAGATTGCCTTTGTGTGAAAGCCAATTGAACTGCTCTGCTGACACCGCCAAAACGTAGAGCTTACCCTGACTGGTTTACCATTGAAGAGGAACTTAGGGTTAAATTTGGGTGGTGGGAATTTTCTCCCTTTTTTTTCTAGTGGCTTCTAACTGGAATATCAAGTTATGTGTAAGAGGAGATTTAATCCTGAACTTTTGTTTGGGTGGGGCTTACAATGAAATGAAACAGCAAGATCACTGTTAACCATTACAGCTGGAGATGGATTTTGGGCTTGTTTGGTCATCATATTAGCTACCGGCGGTCTTTTCCTCCTTTATCGTTGCACAAGGTTTGTAACATTTCTTTTAAGAATTTATACTTTGGATTGGTTGGTGCCTTGGACATACCCGTGTCTAGGAAGTATTGTACGTACTTTCAACTGATGTGTTATGAGGGGATCTGAGAGAAGTTATATTGATAAGTGGTGTTTGCTGGTTGCTTAGTGTGTTTCCTGAATGGCCTTAGCTTTAAAGGCTTAGATCAGCTGCGCTCAGTCAAACTTCTGTGCAAGATAATTACCTTTGTTTGCATGTTGCTGGTAGCCGTTGGAGTTGATTTGTTGGCGATGATGTGATTTGCAGCAAAGATCCGGGGTATCTTACACACATGCGTGGACAGCCAAGAGATAAAAATCATGAAGTAAGTGGAGATCATGAGATAAAGTGTGAAGTGAAGCGTATTCCATTAAAGTACTTTTTGACTTTTATTTGATCACACTTCTGGTCCTTGTTTTTGTTGACCTCATCTCTTTGTGTATTCGGTTGAACTTCTTCTCTCTTCCGCCATAAGTCTCTTCAGATCTGGTCAGTTGAATGGGGTTGAGCATAGTGGCAAGATATGGCATTCTAAAACGGGGTTTTCTTTTTCTTGTTTATGCCCATATTTGTTCAAAGGAGCCTCTTTTGAAAAGGGATTTGAGCAGTCCAGCGTTGTGGGCAGGTTACTGGGCGCAGTTATGTCCCACTTGCAAGGTTTGTCAGTTCGATTATTCACCTCATTCGATTTGATTTCCTAAGTTATTAGAAACCTGTTCGATCAATTTAATGGCTTCTTGAATAGAGTGCTACATGTACTTCTTTGTGTGCTGGAGTAAGTCTTGATATCCCTAGCCGTTGGGTCATGGTTGCTTGTTCAATAGATTGTGAGACCATTGCGATCCAAGCATTGCTCCTCATGCAACCGCTGTGTCGATCAATTTGACCATCATTGTCCTTGGATTTCAAATTGTGTTGGCAAGGTGCGTTTTTTCACTTCCCTGTCTGTGTTCCGTTTCCTTTCTTACGGCTTCTTTTGTTATATTGCAGCATGATTCTTCAGGGGCCACCTAATATTTCTAGGACATGTTTTTCATAGAAATACCCAGTATTGTACAGGCACTTGTGGTTACTTGTGAGAGGTGAATGTTAGCATTTTCAGTGTGAAGAGGTATCTATTAAGCACAGGAAGACACGGGTTTGAAGCTGTTTAAGTTGCAATTTAATAGACACTCGGTCTTTTTTGGTTTGCCTTCACAGAACAACAAATGGGATTTCTTTATTTTCTTATGTATGGAGGTCACAGCCATGATTATTGCATTATGTGTCACTCTTCATCGTAAGCTCCCTTGCCTTCTTTTCACTGCCATATTATGTTATGTGATGCCATGCTACAATGCACTATCTTTATTTTCAGCTCTATTTAATTTTGAACTTTCCTGATTGCTCAAGTGATGTTGGTAATGATCATGCTATTTGAGTCTCGCACGGTAAGTCCACATAACTTTTCCGTGTAGAGATGTATTGCTCATGTGTATGTGTAAAATTGTTTCGCTTGTCATAGGATTGTGGCTTGACCCAACAGCTCCATCTGGGGGTGGGAAATTCCTTCGGCATGTCGCACTTTACCATAGCGGTGCACTTGTATTTTTAATTGGAGATATATTCCTTCTGCTTGGTACTGGTATGTTGACTGGAATGCAAGCCATGCAGGTATGTACACTTTTCTGTACGTTTTTGTCCTTTGTATTCAAAGAAGTCTGATGTCTTTACACGTTGATCATCATTCTGATTTCCTGCAGTAATGCATTATTTCATTGCTCCTCTCTATGTTGTCTGGCTCAACATGGATATGAGCGAAGGTAATGATGTCGTTATCCTGGTTAATTTGAACATATGTTGGTATGCAGATTGCTCGAAATATAACTACAAATGAGATGGCGAATTCTTTGAGGTATGCCTATTTGAAGGGATCTGATGGTCGATTCCGCAACCCATACGACTCTGGATGTCGCAAAAATTGTGTTGATTTTCTTCTTAATGGGTATAATGAAGACATCGAAGTGCCATGGGAACCCATTCAACAACATGGAGGTGTAATACAAATGGGCGACAGGTACGAACTATTTTCTTTACTTTCCAAGGATGTGAATATCTTTGATGTTATTGAGAATCTAGTCTTGATTTTTGTATGGAGTCGTGAATATGAACGTCTGTATATTTTAAAGTCCCTTGTTCGCTAGATACATGGTCAAGCTTTAGCATGCAACAGGATTATTCAAATCTAAACACACAACCTACGTCGGTAATTTTGTCACTACTTGCTGAGTTGAAAGAGTTTTATGTGTGCAGATCTATAGCAGCAGGTGCAGTTGGTGCTAGCCTAGGCGGAGTACCTGGTCAGAACTCGAGCAACGTGGCTAATGGGTTGAAAAATCATGTACACTCTTCTACATGTTCACATAATCATCAAGGCCACACTCATAGCGGCCATATCCCCGTAGGGTTAGGAAATTTTGGACTACCCAATCATGGGAATCATGATCAGGACCACACTGCTTAGAGCAACCTCAATCAGGAATAACCCTTGGAGGATTGTATCGATGTAGTTGATATGGTGGCTGACAGTCGCAGCTTGGGTTCCCACTAATTAAAGCGCATGCTTCAGTACACGACTTTGAGCAACTCAGATGAATCGAGCACTGCAGTTGTGTCTGCTGCTGCACCTTTTGTACAAGTAATCAATGTTTGCCTCTGGTGTAATTATTTTTGTTAGGTCTCGTAATCTGTATGATTGATGCCCCGGAACTTCAATAGAACTAGTCATCTTCACCAAAGTGATGTCTTATTGTAATACCTCATCACATAGCAGGATGTTACTGCAATAGAAGGTAGTTTCGTTGTTGCTGTTGTGTCTATTATTATCATGCATTCTCTTTAATGCCCCGCCTGACGTTAGCAATAAATATCCGAACCATACTTATTGGTAAAACAAAGGTAAAGTCTCCTGTGCAATTAAATTAGTAAGGTTGTATCTTCAGAATATACTGCTGCGTAACAAGAATTGACATCCTTTTCGTATTACGCATATTCTCATAAAACATATTTTCATGGTAATCGTATACGGGATTTACGCTCGATACTAGTGATGACATTGCTAGACTAGGTAGCTAGATTAGATAGCCATTGATCGATTTGACACTCTGGTGTATCCTCAAAATATTGACCTGGAAACTAAGTGCAGGATTCACGGTCAATGGCTGTGATTGAATCGCTAGAATAGGTAGCCGTAAATCGATTTGACACTCTAGTGTCTTGCTCTTGAAGGGTGACTGTCATTGAACTACACCTTTACATTCAGCTTTTTGAAGATTCACACCGCATGTGACAATCCCTAGAGCCTTGAATTCGTTCACAGTTGAATCATTCTTGCTGCTGATTTTTGAAGCATCGTCGAATTTCGACGAATAAGGTGGAATATGTTACTGCTCAAAATGAGAAAGCTGAAGGGCAAAAGCTAAACCTCATCATGTAAGAAAGACGAGGATCTATATTTGTTAGGAAGGGAATCATAAAAGCTGATGTTTATGCCGATGATGAAGTAAATTGTTCTGAAATGGGCCTGATGTGCTGTTGGAAACTTTACAGAACTTGAGCAACAAGTGATCTTGTCTGCAGTCGGAGAACAGAAAAGGAACATGCGTGAACATCGAGAATAGACTCAAAGCAGGATGAGTGTGCTACATTGGAAGTACCTTGGACTTGAAATTGGGAATGAGGAGGCAAAATTTTAACCAACTCCTTTGCTTTGTGTTTAGTTTTTATTACGTTTGTTTTTTGAGGCTTCTCAAACTCTTGGATGCAACTGCAGGTGGAGATCCAATTGCAACGGAAGAAATCCCTGACAAAGGAGATGCTTTAGTTGAAGAGTCAACTAATGACGGATCAACAAATTAGATATAATGGTGATGGAAAGTAAATGAGCTTGAAAAGACAACATGCGCCTTCCAAAGAAAGTTGAAAGATCAACCATTAAGTTTCATCATTGCTTACAACCTCAATTTGTAGTCAAGCAAACTTTTAACTTTTGTGTTTTGTTCTATGGAATCTATTGAATGTCCCATATTATATGTACCAAAAGCTATGACTTATCCAATTCTTAACTAAGACACTGGAAATGCCCTCTCCTTGACTTTTGGCACATTTTGTTTGCAATAAATGATGTCCATCTTGCTTTCATAATCCATTCAATTTTTATAACATGGTACTACAATTGGATGAATAATTTTGTGGATGAATATAATTGGAGAGAGTCTAGATAAAAAATAGATGTTTTTTGTAGATGAAAACTTCAATGATATGCTTATTGCTAGGATTTTGTCGCTACTGAAGCCTTATTATAGGTGCTAGAATTGTTAGAGCTACTAAAACTAAAGTTTAATTCTATTGATGGTGACTTTTATTTAATTAAATTTTATTTGTTGTTGATAGTAAAAATAAGTTTTTTGCTCCAATATAGCTTGGTACTACTTCTATTCTCCAAATATTACTTTTTGTAGACCATTTGTTAATTGTTTCCTTGTAGTTATTTGTTGCTATTACAGTAATTATATTTGGCAATGTTATCTTTAATAGATCATTGCATCGATTGATTAGATGAAAAAAAACTATAGTACATAGGCATTTGTTATGAAACATGATGTACATTTGTAAGCTCTATATGTATGTAGATAGGACATTAAAATGTACTAAGAGTATTGATGAAAAATTAAAATGAGAATCAAGCGAAGTAGAAGCACAAGCATTGATTGCACTCAATGTTAAGCCTTTGCAGTTAACTCATATACACAAATATATTACTGCAAAGGAGATGTGGAACATGTTGGCTAAGATCCACAAACCATCAAGAATTATTATTGAGATATTTTTTATGAAGAAATTATATAATCTTTGATATATGGATAGAAAATCTATGGAGATTTTTCTTGGAAGGAATTTTGAAGCTAGTGGTAAAATATGAAAACAAAGCATGCCATTTCTTATACTTACCATATTACCAAAATCTTACCATCTACTTATCTAATCGGTTGTATCAAGAAAAAATTAAGAAATCACAAAAGAGGTGGTATGATCTATTCTCTTTGAAGAAGTGTCAAGAATATGAATCTTGAAGAAAGAAATCCTCAATACACTCTTGTGACATTGAAAAGAACTAAAAAGTCACTCAAAGATGATATATTGAATTAGAATGGCTATTGTCAAATCCAAAAAGACTAGAAAGTCTTGAAATAAGACTAAAGATTAAAAAAGCATTAACAAGAGTAAAGAAGGCTTTATTCTTGCCTCCATATATACTCTTAATTAGAAGCTACGTGGCAATATTCTATGGGACCTCTAAAATGTGTTGACTTTGCAAGACATGTATTTTAATTTACAAGGCAAATTTTCTATATATGTGCCACATAATTACTTATTCCACAAGCTATCAATATGTGATTAACTTGTTTACCAAGTTTCTAACCTATCAATCAATTACAAATACATATAAAGTCAAAGGAGTATCTATGAAGCTTCTAAGTACCTTTTTTTAGAAGGTATGATGAAATAAATTTACTTTTATTTATTTTTATTTACTTCTATCTAATCATATAGGTATTTACTAAAGTATCTATGTATATCCGTGACATTATTTCCTTTTTTAGGGACGAGTTCCATGAGGAGCAGTCTTCATTTGTTGAGGAAATCTAAGATGATATAAATTGTATTTATAACATACTCTAATCTTTATTCTCTATAAAAAATGGTTGACAGGTCCTCTTAGCCATTGATAGTGTCCTATACTAAGGAAAAAAGACCATCCTATTATTTGATCGTTGTTGAGGCCTTTATAACTTCCTTCAAATAAAATATTTGAAACACCGTCAGGAGTTGTATCTACTTCTAATAAAATCACCAAACATTGAGAGTCTCTTCTAAGGTCGTGATATAAAACACATTGTATCTTGCCATCTATTCGAGGAAAGACATGTTGTTCTTGACGATCTTCATCTTGATTTCATTGACTTGAAGGTTATAACAATTATAATGTTTCACCTAGTACGTGTCAGGGACATACATTGGAAGATTCTTCGAATATTCTTCTAGAATATTCTCTAAAGATTCTCTAAAGATTCCTTTAGAAGGTTCTAGAAGATTCTTAGAATATTCCCTAAAGATTCTCTTAGAAGGTTCTAGAATATTCTGATAGATTCTAGGAAGTTGCTCGAGAAGTTTCCTAATTAGTAGAAGTTGTTGGAGAAGCGTCCTAGTTAGCGGAAGTAGCTCGAGAAGCTTCCTATTCAATAGTATATATAGGAGTCGAGGCTGAAGGGTTCTTCAGTCTCGACAACACATCTCTTGGAGTTCTAGCTCACCTTTCTGGTGTTGTTCTTGTACTCATCTGTTTAATATAGTTCTGCCACTTCTTCTTGAATTTCTTGTTAGATTTCAAGTCTGTATTTTGTGTCTGTGACAGTTTGTCGAGACTACATTTTCACTGGTATCAGAGCTAGTTCGTTCTTGTTAGAGAGTGGATTACCCCTCTTCTTGAAGGTGTGCTAGTGTTTTAGAGGTTGCGGATTACCCTCCTCTAAACTGATATCTCTTCTTTCTCAATATTGGAGCCTTATTCTTCTTGGAGAGAGTGGATTACCCCTCATCTTGGAGTCTTAAGGCGTTTTAGAGGTTGCGGAGTACTCTCCTCTGAACCAATATTGTCCTCTTGTCAAAACTCTTTTTTCTTCTTTCTGAAGGTTAGCCGAAGGTTAAGACGTTAAAATGGCTGAAAGTTTGGAATCCAAACTAGACGCCATCATAAATGCTCTTGCCTCGTTGTCACATAGGACAACAGAGATCGAAGGAGTCATGGTAGGACTCCATAACAATGGAGCATCTGGGATAGCGCCATCTAAAGCATATCAGCCTCAAACTTCTGCGCCAGAAGAAGCAGTTCTACCTCCATTTCAACAAGATCGAGTAGTCCTACAACGAAAGGAGCCTCGAGTTAGTCTTCCGGATAAGTTTGATGGAACTCGTTCCAAGTTTCGAGGTTTTGTCAACCAAATCAAGTTGATAACAATTTTACAGCCCGAACGTTATCCGACGGAGGAAGCGCGTGTTGAGCTTGTTGGAACCTTGCTTACAGCACAAGCTCTGTCTTGGTTTACTCCCTTGTTCGAGAAGCGATCGCCAATCCTGAGCAACTTTGAAACGTTCTTGGAGGCGTTTGCAGAAGCATTTGGCGAGCATGATAAAGTTCGATGGGCTACAACAAAGATCCGATCGCTACGACAAGGAACACGCTCTGCATCAGTCTATGCCTCGGATTTCAGACAATTGGCAAGTGACATTAATTGGGGTGAAGAGGCGTTGGTGAGTCAGTTTTATTGGGGCTTGAAGGATGATGTGAAGGACTTGCTGTTATCTCTTCCTGATCCTCAAACGCTCAACGAAGCTATTAGCCAAGCTGTAAAGTGTGACAACCGCCTATTCCAGCGTTGCCAAGTCCAACGTCCAAGACACCAAATGACTCGTTACGACGTGACTATGTCTGCAAATAGCTTAAACTCACATTCGGAGGCAACAGACATGCAAATCGACACGGCGCGTGTCCGATCTCTTACTCCAACAGAGAAGAAACGACGTATGGAGGAAGGGTTATGTTTGTACTGTGGAGAAGAAGGTCACAAGGTTGGAAATTGCCCCAAGAAGCAAAATTGGTACCCTGTCAAG